TTACGTTGTAATTCGGTTAAGAAAATTTTATTTTGAAATTTATGAATCAAAAGATTTTTTTGATATTTCGAAATTAATTGATAAAATATCTAATTGAAAAAAATATATATTTATATATAATATTTTCAGAAAACACGAGCAATTAATTTTTTAGGAGTGCAAATAAATTATTGTAGGTAATTGTAATTGTTTTATTAGCAATAAATGGGCGTCATTATTTTATTTTTAAGAAAGTGGTCGCATGTTTGTAGTTGGATTGTGTTGAACTGTGTGTCAGAGATGTAAACTTATTGATAGAAATGAGTCTCTTTAATTGTTCATTGTTTAGAAGCATTTATTGGTTCATGGACATTAATATTTAATGAAGATTTTTACAAAGCATATATTCATCTAAAGTTCATATGAGTACAAAATAGATCTGAAAAATAAGATTGAAAGTGAAATGAGAATTAAAGAAATATGTTACTATAAAAACATTCTGTTCTTCATTAACATTCATTTATCACCTTTTTCATTAAAGATGGCAAATGATGGAGATTTTCATAAGTTATTTTTTATTTAATCACCACGTTTCGCTCTTAGCTATTAGATAGATTTTAGATTTAGAGTGAATTTAAGTTCTTAGTCATAAGTAAAAAAACTATAATATACTCCTGAGATTCAGTGTCCAATATATTGGACAACATTTAGCACAATTTTAATACTGAGAATTCTCTTTTCTATTTGGCTACCCTTGCAAAACAATCGAGTATGTGAAAATATAATCGAGTCTACCCCTGTTGGTCTGAGTCATTAATTACAGTAAAAAATAAGAAAGGCAAGAAACTCTATCCAAATAGTTTCTTGACAGTTGAATGATATATAAATATCCTATTATTTGCATCTAGTGAAATTTTTTTATGACCAAAATGTGAAAAAATGAGCCTAAAAATATTCGACAATTTACAAAAAAAATGCTGAAAGCTAAAATTTAAAATTTTTTTATGTAAGAATTAAAAATAACATAAATAACATAATAGAAAAAAAATGTTTATTTTTCGAAAAATTATTTTATCGTACTTATGAGTTACATATTTATTTTTGAGCTACTTATTTTAAAGTAAAATTTTCTTTTTCTGCCATTATATGAAGTTCAGGTTTCAGGAAGATATTAAACTTTCTTTTTTGAAAAAAAAAGAAACATTTTAGAAAATAATCGCCTTGTTTTTTCATTGTTTTTGTCGTCGACCGTTAAGGCAGAGAGGATGCGATTGTTTCCAGTGGCACCATCTATGGCCAAGAATTCGACTTTTGTCACACTCATGCGTCACACCCTTTTATAGAGCAGATCCCTTCATACATCAATTCATTCGTCCACAAATCGTAATTCTGACCTGAACCAGGGAACGATCAATCTTCAATATAGTACTTCCAGAAGTATCGATTTGTTAGGGGAATATAGGGGACTCTTTGGCCCGACAGATTTAACGTGTACCAGTCACCATTTACTACACGAGAAGTCTTCGGTCAGCTGGATTCGAACTACCGTTCACGTAAACGTGAGTCCAGCGCCCCGCCAACCAGACTTTCCCGGTCACTTGTTTTTTATTAGATTGATATTATTAGACTGTAGTTTTATAGCAAATATAGTTATACTAAATATTTATATTAAGCATGAATGAATAATTTTATTTTAACTATTTTATTTTGCGAACATTGCTGAACGATGAATCCATAATTTTTATTGATGTGCCAGTAAATAGACATTTTTTTCATATTGTTTCTTCAAAAACTAGTTAGTCCAAAAATTAAATTAAAAATTAATAGAATTAAATTCTGTTTATTAAACTAGTGAAAGAACAATAGTAAGAAATAATAGTGTGAAAAGGATGCAAAGAATAGTTAAAATGAATAAGTAAGTTGTGAGTTATTAATTTTTACACACAAGTCAACAATCTATATCATTTCGATGCATTGTGCGTCTTTGACAAAAATTTAAAATTAAAGTGGGATCTACTACGGAAGACTGTATATGTCACGGGCAATATAAATAATTGGGCATTGTTTATAATGCCCGCGCAATTTAAAAAGTGCCCAAAAGGATATGACAAAATGATAAATTATGTTGCAATTATTACATTGCCCGGTCATTATGTATAATGCTAAAAGTCAAGTGGGCAATTTGTGTCACACACAGCCACAGGGTGTCTTGGGATATTCATCCACTTTTAGATGCACCTGGATAATTTTTTTTAAAATTTTTTTCCGCACATGCGCTGTATAAAGCAACTACTTCAATTACTCTTATCTGGCGCAGTTTTTATTATTATTTTTTTAATTTTAAAGCAATAATTTCGTTATCAGTTTAAAATTGATTCAAACGCTTTGTTTAATTTTTTTTAATATTTAAGCTATAGCAAAAGTGGCACTAGACCTAGTATATATTTCGGACATTTACCAAAGGTCTAGTCATACTAGATCAGGTTAAGTGCCATTGCCCTGTATACATTTGCCCGGTATACCCTACACTGATGTTTTTCTAAGGTCAAGTGCCACTGCCCGGTATACCCAACACTGATGTTTTTTCTAATCCATCGTCAGTAAGTATTAAAATATCGAATAAATGTAATTATATCCACGAATAAATTAGTATCAAATTGGATGTAATAAATATTTCGGACATTCACCAATTTGATTGTCAACATTCACCGGTGAACATTGGCCAGCCAGAATCACACCACACTCACGTGGTTGTCCCATTGCTGTCAATTAATCAAAGTGTCCAAAGAAATAATAGCGGCATTTATAATGACCGGGCAATGTGAGAAATTATCGTAAAGTAATTCAAATTTATCAAATTGCCCAATTTTAATGGTCATTATTCATAATAACTAAGCATTATGAATACTGACCTAAATAATTACATTGCCCGTAACATATATAATATAATATATATATATATAATAAAATTTCGATGAAATATTTAAAAAAAATATTTCGTTCATTACATTAATAATATTTATTATGCATCCAAGCCGTCTTGACCTATGCATTCGAAGACCCTTAAACTCTGTCAAGGAAAGAGGCTAAATATTGTCATCTGAGGACGAAAGATCTTATAAACTATTTTTTGGCGAAGTAATTTCTTCGTTAGAACAAATACAGAAATTTACAAAATTTAAAGAGTGACTGATGTAATTAATTTTATAAATTTTAACAGAATGATATTTGCAGGACAAACACATCGCTTAGAAACCACTAGCCTGAAACATGTGATTTTCAAACATAAACCAAATGAAAGTAGAGCTATAGGACCTCAACAATTTAAATATTGACCTGACAAAATCTGGTGACAAAAAGAATTGTAACGTAGAGAAGTTCTGGAGAAGGTCAAGGGCCACCAAGGGCTTTTGGGCTCTTGATGATTATAACAAATATAAAATATTCAATGCAAGGATAAAGCAATATCTCAGAAAAAATTGTTTCTTGTAAAATAAACTGCTTACATAAATTGTACATATTTAATTTAATAAAAAAGTGATATAAGCAGTTGGATGCAGTCTGACAGGCATTAAAAAATCTTTATTTTTTAATCAAATTGCTTTCTTAGGGAAATGATTTGTTTTAAGTTGATTTCTAGTTGTTTATTTTCGTTTAAAAGTTACTTCACTTAAAGATATCTCTTCCTTCCCATAAAACTATACAATAAACTGCTTTCTTAAAGAATTAAATTTTTTTTGAATTAATTTTTTTAATAAAATGTATCTATCTCTGTTGAAAAAATTCGAGGTATATGCGTCGTTGGCTAATTTTATTTTATTTTATAACTGGCGTTTAACAGCCGACCTAATTTTGAGTTTGCGACTATTTATGTTCAACTCCATGGCCTTTTTGAACCCAATCCAGAAGACAAGGGAACTCTTGAATCAAGTATTGGGAGAAATTTGGCACCTGGAGGACTTTTTGAGGGCACTAACCAGCATTTGCGTTGTATGAAGGGGAAAACCAAGAAAACCTTCCATGGTTAGCCCGACGGAATGAGACTTTAAATCATGATCCGTCAACCATTTAGGATAATTTACGTCAGCAAAGTGGCCCGAGCAAGCCGGGTGCGGAATTCGAACCCGGGGAACCCTATTGGGCGGCGAATGCTCTATCTCCTGAGCCACCACGACTTCTTGTAGGTAAACAATAAATTCTAACAATAGCGTCCAAATAGAGATCTTTTAATTAATATCGAAAAAACTCTGGACATTAATCTACTTCAGGTAAAAACATGCTTTGTGTTTTAAATTAGTTCGAAACACTGATTTCAAAGGGTTGTAATACTCTGACATTTAAAAGCTGTAGGTTAAGGTTGTATTACTCTGTATTACTATTTAATTGTATTACTCTGTTGTATTACTACTTAAAGGTTGTATTACTCTGACATTTAAATACATAAAAAAGTATAGCTACTAACTCACGCTTTTAATGGTAGAGTTGCAAAGAAATTGGGTGTTACATTTTTAAATTTTTGTTGATCATAAAATTTTATTCTGTTTGCATTCCGTACTAAAAGTAGCATTTGGTATTATTAAAAAAATTATAAACAATGCTTAAAATACTTTGTGTGTGTGGTTTTATAAATTCAGAAGTTCGTAGGCTAAAAGACTTGTCTCACTTTTAAAACAGCCGCCGTCTTTTTGACTGCCTTATTGAATATTTCTCGTAGGCTAATTGGAAACCCTTTAAAATCAATGTTATGAGCTAATTTAGAACATAAAGCATGTTTTTACCAAAAGTACATTTATGTCTGGATTTTTTTTCGATATTAATTAAAAGATCTCTATTAGGATGAATTGTCGTCACATTAGTATTTTGTAACATGTTTATGAAAAAACTTGCCTTCCATTTTTGTTATTTCAAACGGAAATGAACAAAATGGCTATAATTACATTCAATTCAAATGTATTTATTCTTTCCCTTTATTTATATTAGCAAAAATTAAACAGAATCCCAGGATACTACTTTTGTTCCGATTTCCGCATCTCTGTTATGGTGTCCGGTGACAATTATGAAGGTTATCTTCAAAACTGTTTCCGAAACAGACCGTCACAAATAAAATGCTGTAGAAATAACTCATTCATTTATAGCGTGACACCAGTTTTCCCAAAATGTATCACCTTTTATCTCTTCATTCAAAAGTAATTATGGTTTTTATTTAAATATTTTTTAATCGATTACAAAATTAAAGAAATCAATCATTCACTTTGCATAAGAATGAATTCAGCTATTAGTTGCCTAATGAATCTAACGGATATATACTTTTTTTAGTTTTATTACCTCGTCAAGTTTCATTCGTATTGACTACATTATTTGGTACCGTGGAGAGTATTTTGCAATATTGCTCTTAGTTTTACCCAGTTTTGCACTGTAAATGAGAAAGAAGAACATATGTGGATGTTTCATTTATTGTTGTGAATTATTATAAATATTGCTTTTTATCGAGGAGATTATTTTAGGAAATCGTTCCCAATACAGCCGATCATTGATGGTTGTTTTATTTAATATTGTTAAATTCTATAAATATTGATTAATACGGAGGGGAATGCTTTTCGAAATAGTTTAGAACAATATCAAGTTTTGCATAATGCACAAGTAACAATATTTTTATTAGGTGTTTTATGACTGTTATGTTTAGTTATTGAGAAAAATATCCTTTTCGTCATGTCCTGCTACTCAGTGTAACAAGAATATTATACTGTATTTTTAAGCCTTCCATTGCTTAGGGAACACATCGTTATACAATATCATTAACTTCTTTATTGAGTAGCCTTAAATTCTTTTTAATATTGTGCACTGTTGTTATCGTTTGACTTCGAGGAAAATATTATACGGCATCTTTTAAAGTTATGTGTTTTTGAAATATTTAAATTGCACGAGGGTGTTAGTCTGTTTTACAGTAGATTTCGTAAAGTCTATTTCCTGTCTATCAAATGCTGTTTATGTTTCTGTACTGTGTGCATCGTTTGATACCGAGAAAAGTATTGTACGACGTCTTTCATAGTTATGAGTTTCTGAAATATTTAAATTTTCTTGGAACTAGAAGGCGTTTGTCTGTTTTATAGTAGATGGTATAAAGCTAGCTTCTTGTCTATCAAATGTTGTTATATTTCTATACTGCGTACATAGTTTGTACAAGTCTGTGCGTATCGTTTCAGACGGAGGAAAATATTGTATAGAATCTTTCACAGGTTTGTGATTTTTAAATATTTACTTTACTAGAGGGCGTTGATCTGTTTTATAGTACATTGTATAAAGCGTGCTTCTTGTTTATCAAACGTTGTTTATGTTTCTACTCTGCGTACATCGTTTCAACAACACTGTGTGCATTGGTTTTTGTACAACACTGTGTGCTTCTTTTTACATCGTGGAAAGTATTGTATAGAATCTTTCACAGGTTTGTGTTTTTAAAATAATTATATTACAAGAGGGCGTTGATCTGTTTTATAGTACATTGCATAAGTCTATCAAATGTTTATGCATCTACACTGCGTACATCGTTTCAACAACACTGTGTATATCGTTTTTTGTACAACACTGTGTGCATAGTTTTAGACAGAGAAAAATATTGTAAAGTATCGTTCACAGTTCTGTGTTTTTGAAATATTTACATTACAAGAGGGCGTTGGTCTGTTTTATAGTAGATTGTGTAAAACCTGCTTCTTGTCTATCAAATGCTGTTTATGTTTCTACCATCAACAAAGGTATAGTGCCTTTTTATTGATCATTTTGAGTAGATGCGTACGTTTATACCAAAATAGTTCGCATAATGTAATCATGTTAGTCATAAAAATGTCAGTGTACAGGATAGCCGTGTAAAAGCTAAGTAGTAAGCTGCAACGGATAATAAATATTTAACGAGCAGTAACAAATTAGCCCTGCTTCGAGCAGAATGACTTAAGTGATTTAAATGCCGCGCAAGAGAGAAATCTTAAAATAAGTGGAAACCTTGAAGAAGAGTGCATAAGCAAGCGCTTGTCAATCATCGTATGTCAGACATTTTCTCTGTTGTTTCACAAAAGAATTGTCATCGCTTGTGTATGCAACTGGACTAAAATGGCTCAACAAGAAGACAGAAATATTAGGGAAAGTAGTGCCGGTATTCATGCGTCGAGAAAAAATAGAAGTATTGTTGAACATTCTGCACCAAATGCAAATCAGGATTTACATGGAAATGATCGGAGATTTACTGATTGGGCTGTAGATGATTCCCAATCACAATCGATATGGAGGATTCTAAGTCACTTAGTGTAAGTCTTTTCTTTACCATATTTACTGCAAAAATTTATTTTTAATTCCTTTTGACTTGTTTCAAAGCGCAGTGTCATTTTATTGAAAAGAGCATGCTCATATAGTGTTTACTATGCCACCAAAACAATCTTTATCATTGCATTGGGTTTATCTTTTCAGTATTGATATTTTTTATTGACACTATAAGTTCTTAAAATTTTAATTGCAACATTTCACAACTTCGATAAATAACCAAAATTTAAAAATATACACACATAAGAAGTTGCAGTGCAAAAAAGAATTCAAATTATATGCAATTGAAACAATGTTTTGACTAATGTCTCCGTAGATTTTCATTCATTACATAATGCATCTTGTAAACATATAACTGACATGCAAAAAAAGTTTATTGTATCAAAAAAAAGGAAAATTTTGTTTGTAAGATTTACTACTCCCTTATTATTAGATTCGAAGAACTAACATTCTTAATTATAGCATATAGCAGGCAATGAAATTTCAATTCCAAAGTTCTTAGTTGACCGAACTAAAAGTTTTGCTCGTGATTATTTTACATTCATTAGAGCATTTTTTAAAATGCTGACATATGTAGAATGAAAAGCATTTTTTTGGGATGAGGACATATTTTTTGAGATAATTTTAACTAGAATGGTTTCGTATTTGAAAAGTGAGTGACTCAGCATTTCTTTTTTGTGCTAAAAAGAAAAAAAATGCTGTTGCTTGATTTCTAAACACTTCCATGTGCCACTTCATTGAAGCTCAATAATCTAAGCGTATATAATTTAATTTAAACTCAACTTTTTAAAATTGAAACTTACTAACGAGCCTTAAATATTTGGTAGCCAATTATGAGTTGTCGAGTGGAAATTTCGTGCCATGCACTATAGTTTAATTGTTACTACTGTGTCAAAAAAAAAGAAAAAAAAATACACTTGTAGTTGCGGTGATCTTGTAAATTTTTTCTGGAACTATACAGTGTGATTTTCATTATTAAACAAGCAATTGACAAAAAAGGTAATAAAAATAAGCGTAAAGTCTGAATACTTTTTTAGCCAATGGCAGGCAAGTGTCATTCAATGACTTAGTCAAATTAATTGTGATCGGATTGATCAAATCAAAAATGATTTTATGAGAGCTTAATGGAAATAAAAAACCCTAGTACAAATATGTTCAATTAGGTTTACAAGAAAGATTTAGCATACAATAAGGTTCATTTTCGAAAATATTTTTTTGTTATTCATTTGAAACAATTTAAAGTCAATGCTCAAAAATACACATAAATAAAATGCATGCAGAGATGTCCTGTATAGATAGTAAATTCATTCTTTAATTTATTGAAAAAAATTTAAGTTTTGAATTATTCTTTGATATTAATCTCCTTATGCTTCATATCATAATAAAGTGAACCTTTGGAAATATCCATTAATAATGATTTAGATTTCAGAGCAAAATCCGATCTATAAAATTCACTATTATCATTTATTTTTAGGTTTATTGTACTTTAGTGCTTCTTTCTTCCCAGATTTTGTACTTCAAAAAATATTTTTTACATATTTGTTGGAAATTGAATTCTCGAAAGAAAATCCATCGAGTTTATTACTTAATCAGATGTATTAGATAAGTGTTGATAACAAAGCTAAATTGAATCAAAAATAGAGTTCATATTAGGGTGGGCTGAAAAATTCGAAGCATCTTAAATCTTTTAGAGAGGATGCAGAAAAAGTGTCAACTATCATCATTCACATTGAAAAATAAGAATGGCCAAAACTACGACAATATGGTAAAATTTACAGCGTTTCTGGTTCTATGGGGACAGCAAAATCTAGGTAATTTTTACCGAAGATTTCTGCTGATGATTTTGCTAAAATTAACAATAAATTATGGTTTTATAATTTGTGATAAAATTCAGAAAATGTGCTAAAATTTGGTAATTTTTTGCTTATACATTAGAACTTGGCACAAAAGCCATTTATTCGGTTAAATTTATTATTCAGTTTTGTATTTTTTCAAAATTTGTGGTAATTAGAACAATAATTTTAGAGACCAGACTTTCCGGGAAACTGTTACCATATGAAAGAGAAAATTACCAAATGAATGGTTTTAATACCGTATATTTTGGTTTTATTAATCAGAAGTATGCTTTTTATTTATTTATTTACTTTTACCAGAAATGTTATTACCATACAGAGCGGTAATTTCACAGGAATTTTTTTCTCAATTCAGAAATACGCAAAATCATATATTTCTGAATTGCGTTCTGTTATCTCAATAAGCCAAAAGTTCTAAAAATTGGACTAAATATGCTTAGAATTCAAAAGAAATCTATAGATTTTTTAAATCTGTTTGCGGCGACGGGAAGACTTTTTTTAAAATCAGTTTGAGGTGTCAGGATGGGAGATAATGAAAGGTTTCTGTCACCTCTAAAATTTTTCTCGATTTGAGAAATTTTATCTGTCATTTGTCAGATTTTAATACTCAAAAATATCGCATTTAATGCAAATGAACCAGGATTTTTTTTTACTATTTAAGCTACAAAAAAAGAAACATCAGCTACGGTAAAAATTAAAAAATAACTAAAATTTGCTTTCAAAAAATTTAAAAAAGCTTTTTCAAATGCTTCTTTTTGCGCTGCTACCAAAGAATGTTAGAAAATTGTAAAGAAAAGAGTAATAGTAGTAATTAGAGAGCACCAAAGATTAAGCAATCAAGGCCAATTTAAATGCAAGAAATATATTATGAATTAGTAAAATTAGAAATTCATTTGATAAATTTAGCATTCTCTCATTCTATCAAAATTTTAAATATGCGGCCCCCCTGTTTGCGGTTGAACTTAAAACAACAGCTCTTAACAAAAATATAGGCACAACGTTTCAGAGTTATACTGCACACAATTTGAAATATTAGGCGACATTATTTGCATCATATTAAATTGAAGTAGGTGTGATTATTGATTCATTTAAAATGTGTTTTTAATATTTCAAATAGTAATTAAGGTTGCAGAAGATATTAATTTAAAATTCAAAAAATTTGTAATGATCAGAAATAGAAATTTTTTAAGATTCAATGCTGAGCCACGATCTTCCACTTTACATAATTATTTGAATATTCAGCATTTTAATCTAATTTTTACAACCTTGACTCATTAAAATGGCAGAAGCCATCAATTTAGAAATATAAGATTTAGCATACATTTATAAAATCAGAGAATTAAACTTAAATTGATTTATCATACTTCGTAATGATGAAAGATAATAATTTTTACTCATTATCGTTCAAAGACTTAAGATGCTTTAAATTTTTTGTTCGATCCAAATATTTATGTTATAATAGTTTTTGGGAGATTTTTTGGAAATACTATGAATAATTTTTTAAAATTTAAAATATTAAATTACCAATAGATAGCTTATTATTAGCATGTTCATGAAAAGATTTTTTTGGTCATTATAGGATATATTTTTTCTGAGACTTGCTGTTCCTCAATTTTTATCTTAAAATTTTTAACTTTTTATCATTTATTACGAAACATAAAGATTTGAGCTAAATTGAATTGCTCCATGGTTAATTATTGATGGTTCAACTCTTTTTCCTAAAGAACTGCACTGTTCTATTCTTAAAAAACAAGAACATGTAAAATACGTTGTACTAAAAACCTAATTTCGACCTCAAACTGCATAGAGGGGATGCTTCAATTTAAAAAGAAAACATACTTAATTTGATTTAAATTTTCATAAACAAATTTCGTTCACTAGTATTTCAATAATATCATTATATTGAATCATAATTTAAGTTTATCAAAATAACTACTATAAACAAATAATCACATGCTGTGGTTCAAATCTTTGAACGTACAAATCTGTAAGAAATCAAAATTTTGAAATTTCAGGCCTAAAGGAAAATAAAGTTTAAAATCGTGCAAATGTTTAACATTTTTTTAGACTAATTATTTATAAAATTAAAATTTTTTATTGCTTTTCATTAAGTTGTATGAACATTAAGTCATTATTTTCTTTTCGAATTGTCTTTCAATGGATTGTTGCTAGTAACATTCATTTATATTTTGAAGTTATTTTTATTTTCCTAGTTATTGAAGTTATTATTATTATGTTTTTATATTTTTAGTTATTGCTATTTTTTTTATTTCAATAAAAATGATCGGCTAGTTATTAATACGCTACATTTCAGGAAAAATAGTAAGTTTTGCGCCATCTTATAAATAATTGATCTTGTTATAAATTTTTCCAACCTTGATAAAAAAATTCAGAAAATCCAAATTTTGGGAACGTCTAATTTGCTCTTAAATTTTTTTATTTGTTTAATATTCAAACCGTCTTCTTGCTCTTTTTTGGCGAGTTAAGTATACAAAAAAGATGATTTTTAGACTGAAATTTCTTCCCGTATTCATTAATTGATTTTCTTTCTTATTTTTTTTAAAACTCAAACGTCTACTTTTTGTACTGAAGAGTACTAAAAATGTTTTTATTTTGTAAACAGTAAATTATGCTCACAAATATCTTTAATCATTTGGCGATATTTGATTGTTTATTAATTCAGGGTTTCAATTCATCATGATCATAACATACAATAGTGAATAATAAACTCAGGAATTTGAAAACAACTATTTATTCGTAGATGCAGCATTCCCATTTATTCATGAAACAGTTAATATATCCGTTATTTTTGTATAAAAAGTGAAACAGAAATGGGTTTTGTTTAAAGCTGTTTCTGTAATATAGGTTCACAAGTGTGTTTTAACTTGTTTTCAAGACAGTAATAGATTTACAGCCATGTACATGAAGATAAAAAGATTCGAAATTGTTAAATTTGTAAATTTCAAATTTCAATGTCTGGCTCTTTGCTTGACTTTGTTGTCTGACAGACATTCGGCTGACTTCGGTAGCTAATAAAATAATTCGGTCAATAAAAATAATTTACTATTTCAATATCAATATGTTTTGACTTGAATAACGGGTTTCTAAACTTGCTAAATAGAAATTAACTAGTG